GTTCGAGGTGAGTAATGGGTGTAAATGACTACTTGAGGGTTTGAAACCCCGGTATATCACTTTACGCCGCTATTGTGAGGCTAGACACGCACTCCAGGGTAGTGCGGGGTCGGAGGTGATGTGAATTGTGACTCGGTTCCAATCCGAGAGACTATATACTGCTGTGAATTAACTGTGTAGTATTATCATGCTGTGTTAGCTGGGCTTGATGCCATGTTTGGGGCCTTGTGCCGACCTTTGAAATCCTTCAGGGATTGATATGGGCTTTATGCCGTGTTTGGGGCCTTGTGCCGAATTGCAGAATCCTTCGGGGATCTCTGGACCGTATTAGCATGACTCACGTATATTATAAATGAAAGATAAAAGGGTTTTCCGGTCAATAGATGAAATGAAAGATGTCATACATGATATAACTGACTGGCATGATTGCATATGCATGGGATCGGACTGCACGTTCCGCAGTATCGGATCGGACTGCACGTTCCGCAGTAACGGATCGGACTGCACGTTCCGCAGTGTTGTGCGCTTGGGCCGCAGTAGCCCCTCCGGAGTCTGAACACCCCCAGTGAGCGCAGGGTACCCATTGGATCGGGCTGCACGTTCCGCGACAGGCATGCATAGCATTGCATTGCATTGCATTCATTCGCATACTTTTGTGATGTTACTGTTCTAACGGATTTCTTGCAGGACTCTGTGGTAAATAGAGATGGTATTGTTAGCTGCATTTAGTGCTGTATCTGGATTTCTCTTCTTCGAGTTATTATTTACTTTTATTACTCACTGAGTTGGTAGACTCACCCCCTACTCCCTGCACCTTGTGTGCAGATTCAGGTACCGCGGAGCCGCATCGGAGCCGATTCGTGCTAGAGCTGATCCTTTCTGAGTGCTGAGGTAGCTGCTGTCTCCCGCAGAGCCCAGTTCCTCTGTTATTTCTAGTTTGTTTCTCTATGTATCAGACAGTGTCTTTACTTTCTTTCCAGTACTGTATTCGTAACTTATAGAGGCTCAGTGCTTGTGACCCTGTTGTTCTGGGAAATTCTGGTTATATTCTGTGAAGTTGGCTTCAGCTGGCCCGAAATTGTTCAATTATTGTTTCAGTTATTGTTTTGATGCACTCTGGGCTGTTAAGCCGTCGTTTGGTTTGGAATGGTCGGGCTTGCCCAGCCTTGCGGCAGGGCGCCATCATGACCTGGGATTGGGGTCGTGACAACTTCAAACTTAAGTTGTCTTGTGTACGCGATTGCACTATTTTCTTTTGGTATTTCGTTTCGTTTTTTCTGTTGGGTTTCTCTGAAGAACGCAGTGTTTTCTAATCAGGGGTTATAGACTGCTGCTTGAGAAGTCCTATTTCGAATTTTCTACTTATTTGAAGGTAATTATTAAATAGGATGATTTTCTTCTGCGGATGGTATTTTGTGTATTACTCTGATCTTGACCGAGATTACCAAATCAAAAAAGGGATACAATAATTTCTCATGTAAAAGTTAAGAGTTTTTTGTAAATCTTCTAATCCCCTGTTAATTGATAGTATTCTAATTCTTTTTGGTTTTCTAAAATTATAGATCCAATTACTTTTCAATTGAGAGAAATCGAAACTCGAAATCTTTCAACGGCAGTGACACAGAGGCACCATCTCTTGGATAAGGGCGTCCAATAAGTTTAATTTTGCCAACTTTATTACTTCGATTTACTGCAGTTTCAATTAAGCTATGCTATGCTTATTTATTTCTTCAAATTTTAGTAATAGTAAAACTATTACTTTAAGCTGATCATGTGTTAGAAATATACCAAATATTGGGGGGTCTTTTCCTCCTAATCCCCTTGCTGTAAACGTGAGTTTGGCGAAAAACTAATTCAAAGTTATAGTAGGAAAAGTTAATTTTTTAAGGATTTGATATTTGTTAGTTTAATTAATTCATGTCTAAATAGGATTTGTGGGAAGTTAGTGCATCCTGGAGTTTAGCTTTGTACCACCGCTTTTTTTTTTTGAACTGAGGTAGGATGAAAAGAACTCGAGAATGTGTTAAACAAATTATTTATTATATAGGTAAAACCTGAAAAAGTTACCACAACTATCTCTATATTAAGCGGCCTACCTTCAGGAACCTGGCTTGGATCGTCCCCGCAAGAGAAACAAGATCTTATTAATATTCTGGTCATTGACCCACATGCCGCACAGATAAAATATCATTGATCAATTAAAAAGGCAAAAAGAATGTTATACAAAAGAGTTAAGAGAGCAACAGTTCATCCTAAATACTAACTTTATTCCCTTCGCTATCTAAGTTGATTAAATAGACAGAGTTAAGGTTATGACCATTTTATATGCATTTTCTATCTGGCATGAGAAGAAAAAGAGAGAGGACATACTTTCTTTTTCAGGAAAAATTGGACGCAAATGAAATTTGTTAGCCTCCAGCATGCATGGAACTTTTCTTCCTGATTCAGATGCTTTTACGAAGAGAAGCTCAATATCTTTTATGCTCAAAAAGAAGTCCTTGGGTGCCATCTTATTCTCAATATCATTTTCTTTTACTGGTGTCTTCATGTCATTATCAATACAGCGGGTCTTAAGGGTGCATCTCTTAGTGGGTACAAATCAGGTGACTTGCTTTTCTCCCCATTCAGACACTTGGCTTCTGAAGCTGCAAGCTGTCACTATCTATGGGAATGTCAGTAACTACTTGATGATTGATTCTTTAGATAACAAATGGTGCTTTTATGAACGTGCTTTTGATTTGTGCTTCATTGAAACATTTCGACAGCCTTTTGAAAGATCATACCGATCTTTTTAACAAAGTTTAGATAATTGGCTGCCTTAACAAAGTGTTTCACAATTTTTTGCGTAAATAGTTGCCAGTAGTGTGTGCCTATGCTTTTGAAGGTAACTGGTCTTATTTTTTTGATATTGGAGCGGCCTCCAGATGTTTTACAATGACATCTTATCATTGCGATCCATGTACATTTCCGAAATTATGGTACCAGTCTGTTTATTGAAATGTAGAAACTGAATGTAGTGTCGTTTTATGTCCTGTCACATTGAAGAAGTATTATGAGCTGCTTGACATCACTGCTATAAACATGTTGTTCTATGCAAAAATTCAGTAATTGCTATAAAGAATGTATCTTTAGGTTTGAGATTGAGTGATCTGCTGCCTTGGGTTCAATTAGAATTTGAATGCATGATAATTAGTTTGTAGTAGTGGTGTCCATGACCTGTATTATGTGAAATTGAATGAATTGAATAACTTCAACATTAAGCTACGGTTTTTCACAGCAACATGACAGGGATGATGATAACTAGCCATACAACAGCAGAAGTAACCAGTAACATAATATTGATACCTTGATTTAAGCATACTTTTTTTAAGTGTTTAATCTAATACAAAAACAATGTATAATTTTCTTTCATATTGGGCCCGGGCTTCCCTACTAGTTATATAATAATGGCAGATGTAGCACTGCAATTTGTAGTGGAGAGCCAGCTGGAAGCTAATTGGATTCTGCACACCGTCAACAACGTTATTCTCTTTCAATTTGGTTGCTTTTAAGAGGCATATCCTTCCACGTGAAAGAGAAAAACAAAAGTTCTGCATATCACACTGATGGACAAATTATATTATCGCCCGGCTAAAGAACCAATTAAAGGACACATTGTTTATTATATTCTAAAAAAGTATTAGTATTATATTTAAGAATAATTTAATAATATAATTAACTTTTGGACCATACTTTTTTTCACATGTTTTTAGGAAATCTTCAAGATAATTATTCATCCACTGAACCTAACATATATCTCCAGGGAATGTGTGTATCCATATTCTTCCTCCTTTCGAGCTTCTTCATTAGCTAGTTTTCTCCTACAGTAACTTTTCCTTTTTACAGGTAGTTTTCTTATATTGTTTGTTGATATGATCATTTCTGTGATTTCTTTTATTTACTGATCCGCAATCTTATAATTTTAATGTTCATCTCTTGTGCTTCCTCTTAGGATATATTGCATCAGAAATTGGAGTTACAAAAGAAGCCAAATTCACGCTTGATTGATTGTAAGACTCAACTGAACTTGTGTTAACTTATCTTCTTTTCCAAATCTCTACACTACTAAAAACAGGAATTAGGACGGACAAATTTTTTAGTTAAACGGAAAATTCATCAGTAATCCTATACAGCAATGGATTATCAAAAAACTATGTTAGTTACGAGAGATTTAGCGACAGATTAGCAATGAAGTTCGTACTTAATTCCAATTTTTTTAGTAGTGCTAAATTGGTTTCATTTTGCATTCTACAAGTCTAGTTCTTATATTGCCAGAAGAGCTACATGAATCCCCAATTTATGTGATAGTGTTTTATTGATCATTGAGTTTAAGAAATTTTTTTTTGAAACTTATGGTTTAAAATAAAACTTAGATATTTATGTGGCTATAAATCATCTCGTTACTAGTTACTTATCTTCTTGGAGCAATGGTCTTGCTGTTTCCTTATGACCTATAGGTCACGGGTTCGAGTCGTGGACATCAGGTAGGCTGCCTACATCACACCTCCTTGAGTGCGGACCTTACCCAGACCCTGCGTGCATGCCCGATGCTTTGTGCATGGAGTTGCCATTTTTTTTACTAGTTACTTACCTAAAAAAATATGGAAGAAGGGAAGTTCGTATAATATATTTGATATCGCAAAAGAGATATGGGCAATATATCAAAACCTAAGGGAAGTTTGTGAAATTTTTCATAATTAAAAATGTGCAAAATGTGTATAATCTTTCACAAGCATTATAGCTTATGATAGTAGTATTAGAAGACATTTCCCTCTTAGTGAAGATTAATATGACAAGAGTTTGGTTAACTTGCAGGGATTTCTACTTTTTAGTTTATCTACGGAAGATGGCGCATAACGACATTGAGGATATGTTAGATCACCTGAGAAGGATTAAGAGAAGAGGTGATGTGAATGTTGTCAAGACTGAGACACTTGAAATGGAGCTAAGATTTTGGAGAACCTTTTTCAAGTACCCTCATACTCTTTTACCTGATTCCTTAGTAGAAGTCAGAAAGAAGGCCAAATTGATTGCGGAAATGCTTTACTCGGTTTTTGGTGGAATACCAGGTGAATACAAAACTAGTCTTAATGTGGAAAGGCTAGTATCAGAGTTGCAGGAATTCAGTGAAGATAACGGTACCAGTTTGATAGACAACTTTGAGCTGAATGATTCGTATATGTTTGAATATATGGATCACCTTGACCAGAATCTAAATGATGCACCGAGGTACTTGGTTCGATCTATCACTTTTTTCGCAAAAAAAATCAATATCCCGCAGAAGACAGATAGATACTTAAGGAAAGTCAAAGTCATTCAAAACAGAATAAGGTTTATAAGATACTTATATGGTGCAAAGATAAATGGTTATGTCGACCGTGAGAAGTTGGAAGGTATGCATGCTCGAATACAGTTCATGGCTGACAATGTGCGACAGTTTTGTCTTGCTCTTTGGATTAATAAGGATAGAGATGATACATCTGATATCGAGAATAAGCCTCCTTATCTACTATGCTTGGTTGTGATAGTGGAGCTGGAAATGAAAAAGATTTTTCTCTGTGAACTAAAGGCGTCAAAGTTTACTCAATCAAGAACTTTCAAGAACAAGAAATTACCAAAAGGATTTTCATATCAACTCCACTGTTTTCTGGTGTATCTTAGAGATAAAAAGCTTGATAACTTTCCCACTATTGTCTCTGCTCGAAACATTGATGTGGCAATCGAGTTCTTGTTAGTTTTTCTCAGCGATATACCAAATCATGTTATTAGTGGTAATAGGTTGAATGAAGTCTTAGAAAAGGTTGGAGTTCTTGCGGGTGATATACTTTATGTAATTCAAATGAAGCTTCTTTCAGGATCGACAATCAAATATGATGCGAGCAAGATTGATCTTGGCACGATGCATATATTAGAGAAAATTGAAGATCTAAAGGCACAAGTGGAAGAGAGGTACTACAGATCCGTTATATACAAACCATCTCAGTTCCCGACTGTTGGTGGATTGAGCTTTCTGGATTCTCTCCTAAGGAAATTGAATGAGATGTTGAAATCTAAATCAGGTTTAGATTTCATGTTGAAGCCTCATATTGTCATTTTAGAGAAAGAGCTCTCACATCTAACATCTATTTTCAGAGATGTTGCAAAGGTGCAGCATGAACATGAAATTCTTAAAGATCTTCAGAGGCATACTATCAATTTGGCATACGAAGCTGAAGTTTCCATTGACTCTATTCTTTCTCAGTGTAATGCTCTTTGGTATCTTTTTTGCTCACTTCCTGCAATCGTAAAAGAGATCAAGAATATTCGTGAGAAGGTGACTGAGATGAGGTTTAAGAACCTCCTTCCTCTTAAGCCCTACTCTTTGATAGAGCCATCTAAGCATCCGCCAAATAAACATAGCAATCTTAGGAGTGATGAGGAGATAGTGGGCTTTGAGAATGACACAAAAAGTATACTTCGGCTTCTGATTCGAGGAACAAATGAGCTGGATGTCATCCCAATTGTTGGGATGGGAGGACAAGGTAAAACTACTATTGCTAAAAAGGTGTATAATAATGACAACGTCGTCTCTCATTTTGATGTTCAAGCATGGTGCATAATTTCCCAAATACATAACCGGAGAGAGTTGTTACAAGAGATATTCAGTCAAGTTACGGGGTCCGCGAACAAGGTTGATGAGGTTGGCGCACTTGCTGACATTTTGAGGAAAAGCTTAGTGGGAAAGAGATACCTCATTGTATTGGATGATATATGGGATGGTATGGCGTGGGATGACTTAAGATTGTCTTTCCCAGATGGTAGAAATGGAAGTAGAATAGTAGTGACAACTCGACTTGACAAAGTGGCTGAGGATGTCAAGCACCATAGTGATCCGTATTTCCTTCCATTCCTCACACCCGAAGAGAGTAGGGAACTGTTGCAGAAAAAAGTGTTTCAAAATGAAGCTTGCCCACCTGAACTAAACGATGTGAGTCTAGATGTTGCAAGAAGATGCAAAGGGCTTCCGCTAGTGGTTGTCTTGGTAGCTGGAATAATCAAAAAGAAGAAAATGGAAAGATCTTGGTGGCATGAGATTAAAAAAGCTCTATTTTCCTATCTTGACCGTGAGTCTAAAGGCTATAGTCGGGCAACTATGCAGTTAAGTTATGATAACTTACCCGAATATTTAAGACCTTGCCTTCTCTATATGGGGATGTTTCCGGAGGACGAAAGGATCCCCGTGTCTAAATTAATAAGTTTATGGATAGCGGAAGGTTTCGTGCAGAACATTGAATCTGATAGATTAATGGAAGAGATAGCTGAAGGGTACTTGATGGATCTCATTAGAAGTAACGTCGTAATGGTTTCAAGGAGAACATATAACGGTAAAGTCAAATACTGCCAGGTTCATGATGTAGTGCTTCACTTTTGCTTGGAGAGGAGTAGAGAAGAAACGTTTATATTGGCAGTGAGGGGGAACATTCAACCTTCCGATTTGAAGGTGAGTCGAGTGAGCTTCAGTAAAGAGCTTTCCATGTTTGCGTCCAAAATGAGGAAGCCTTTCCACCAACACTTGAGGTCACTGATAACCACCAATAGAGGAGAATCTTTATATTGGAATCGTTTCAGTCAGGTTATTAATTTGATGAGGCTTCTTAAGGTCTTGGATTTGAGTTCCCATAAATTCGGTTGTTTTTCGTTAGCTACGCTGAAACCACTAATTCACCTCAAGTACGTTGCACTTTTCATAGATACATTCGATTTTTGTGGAAAATCACATCTGCCCCATCTAGAAACTTTAATTCTCAAGTGTTCAATGTATACATGGTTATCAGAGAATTTTTGGAAAATGAAAAAATTAAGGCATGTAGAGTTTACTTCAGCTGGATTGTTTTTGGTAAGGCAGATCATTGATGAATCCTCTAAGTTGGAAAATTTGAGGATATTAAGGGGTGTTACACTTACACTTGGTTTTGATTGCTTGAATGTTTTAGTACAGAGGTGTCCTAATCTTCAAGAACTTGAAATCACTTTTTTGGCATATGATTCCGATGAAGAAATGATTTGTCTCAAATTGGAGAGTCTTACCCAGCTTCAATCACTTCGCTTTTTCTTTCGCTCGTCCACTGTTGTACCCAAGTTACACTTGCCTTCAAATGTAAAGAAATTGTTACTATGCGGGCCTCGAATAGGAAGCGCGATTTTCTTCATTGCGGGACTAGCAAATCTGGAATATCTGGAATTAAGGGAGCCGAATTTTCTTGATTCCGGAGAGTGGTGCCTTGGAGATATCACGTTCCCTAAACTGAAGTTGTTGAAACTTAGCAACTTAGGTATCTCAAAGTGGGATGCATCAGAGGAATCTTTTCCCCAGCTTGAAACACTTGTTATAAATGGGTGTAATGATCTCGAGGAGATCCCCCTTAGCTTTGCAGATATTCCAACACTGAAACAGATTAAGTTGATGTGGTGCAGCCACAATAAATCTCTGAAGGCTTCAGCTGTGAGAATTAAGAAAGAAGTTGAAGAGAATGAAGGATGCGACCGTATTGACCTCATCATCGTTATGCATGTAAGTAGAAACAAACTCCTATGTGATGTTTTAGTGTCTTCCATTTGCTTTTGCAGTTTCACCTTCTATGTTGCACCTGCAAAATTCACCTCTTTTAAACAAAAAGGAAAAAGGTTAATTGAATCATATCAATTAACTTCAAAAGATAGTAAATGAACTATATGTTTCTAAAACACACTTGTATTATTTGATAACTTCTAAGACTCTAACATAAGATTAAGTGGTACAAAATAAATTGTCTTTTTGGTCAACAAAATTAGCTTTTTTCGCATATGTACAACCATATGGTTTGAAGGAAAAGGAAATAATCAGCTGAAGATGATACAACACACTGATTCTAAATGGCAAATTTACTGTTCTGTAACAATAGATGTAGATATCCACTTGTAGTAGATGTGACATTTGAAATGCTTTTCTCAAAATTTGGTTCATCGCAGCTATGTTTGTGCGCTAATATATATGTGATAGTGAGTATTCTGTTCTTTCTTATCTTGTGCAGCAGAGTAGAATGAGTGAGAAGCTAAAGAAGTTACAAGATCTTTGTCCAAAGATGGACAAGGTACAGTTTGTGTTTTTGGATCTATTAGTATTTGCTCATTCTTTTCATGTTAAATTCTTCGGGACTCTGTAATACTCTGTAATCATGTTTGCTTAGAACAAAGAAAATTAGCGAAGTGGAACTGCGCAAATGGTGATTCCAAGAGTCTTATATAATTGGATATGGTACGATGTAATGGAGATCTTGATCTTGATCCAGTGCTTCACAGAATCGCCTAACGGTCTATAAAGCCTAACAAGCAAGCTATGCTTCCTTGTAATTTTCCAAAACTGTCATCACCTATGGTTGACTAATTAAGAAAAAGAATTGGAAACAAGACACCTGTTTCTTTTTCCAGTTTCGGATTCCAGAAATTCTTAGTTACTGGGCTTTGCTAATATGCTGTTCAACTATCTGTTTTTTAAAAATGTGCAAATTTTATATGAGAAGAAAAAGGAAGTTATCTTTCATTAGTCTTGATTGTATGCTTGTTTTTCTAGTTCCTCTTCACAGTATTTTCTCAGTTGACATCTTCGAAACATGCAAATTTTATTATCTTGTTAATTTTTTTTGCAGCAAACGAGCATCACTGACATACTGGATCTAGCAGCGCAGCACATTCGAACCCTTGAAGATCGGGTTCAGGTAGCTAAATAAATTGATCTACTTTTCTTCTTTGCAGCTTTACTTGTCTATCCAGTTACATGCACCTAGAAATGAGTATTTACTTTGTTCAATTATGGCTAGGTATGTGTGAAAATACTATATCCTGTGTTGCTTGCACTCGTCAAAAATATAGCCCGGTGTGTATCGGATCCTCCAAAATCGATACTAGGAAAACAATTTTAGAGGATCCAAGCAAAACTTGAGCTTTGGGGTGTGCTCCCTTTCAAGGTCTCAAGTTCGAAACCCACTGGGTGCAAATAATTTCCGAGGGCCATCGGACTGGGTAAAACCTGAATTAACCGTGGTGCACTTGCGGGAAACTCCTTGCCGAGGGCCTGTGCACCCCCGGGATTAGTCGGGGC